GGGGGGGGGGGGGGGGGGGGGGGGGGGGGGGGGGGCGGCGAGAGAACCACAGGGCCACACCACAGTGGGGAAGGGGAAGGGGGAGAACCACCGGAAAACAGCGGTTTGAGGGGGTACCCACCATTTGGGGGAGGAGGGGGTGCGGCGGCCGAGCCGGGATCATATATATATATATATACATACGCGCGTGTGTGTGTGTGTGTGTTTGTTTTTGTTTGTGTTTGTGTGTGTGTGAGTGTGTGTGAGTGTGTGTGAGTGAATGAAACGAACAACAAATGCTTAAAAACAGTCCAGAGTGCAACAACATCCACAATGTTTCGCACTAGTTCGCGAGATTCCGAAACGGTTTCGCAACCCATGCTGCAAGACATTGCGCAACCCCTAAATTGGAACACAAACATTTTGCGAACGCAATGTGCAACTATTTCCCAAAATGCCACCAACAAATCATGTACCGCGTGAGGCCCTAATGCTTTGAGCCTTTTGTCGAGGCACCTTGGCTCAAGTCATCTCTTTCAAATCAGAGTCATTCCCAGAGCTTCGGGTGTTGGATGAGCAGAAGCCAAAGCCCGAGCTCCGTCTCTTTAAGGGGTTGGATTATGGGTTTAGTGTCCAGGGCGTCGCACTTGGGGTATATGGGGACATTTGATACAACACGATACAATAGATTAGGCTAGAGCGAATACCAGTTTGAGTCTGCAAAGCATGAGAGATCGAAAGGCACCTGCTGAGGCCTCACATGTGGACACCGAGTTGCGACGGATCCTCCTGTACTCGCTTCAAAAAAAACCAGGACAGGAAGCTCTCTGTCGAAGATCCGCTTTTATTAAAGACTGCGGGGCCCGCCCTCGCAAATACAAGTTGTTCGGGATGAGTGCTAAGATGCTCCGACCCATGCAAGTTTGGCCCTGTCGCCTGTCTCTGTGCAGGTGCATCTGCGATGGATCGATACTTCTGTCGTCACAGACAAGAGTTATGTGTGCAGAAACAGGGAGGGAGAGAGAGAGAGAGAGAGAGAGAGTGAGAGAGAGAGAAAGAGAAGAGAGATGGAGAGGAGATTGAGACAGAACGACGCAAACAACAACGAGAAATGGAGGAAGGGGAGAGAGAGAGAGAGAGAGAGAGCGAGCGGGAAGCAAAAGACAAGCAAGCAAAGGGGCAGATCAAATCTTAAGTCAGTAGCAGGATGAACTCAATAGCCCGCAGCAACCCAACAGAGTCTACGATCGTCTAGAGTCGCCGATGATTAGCATTCACAATCAGCAAGGAGCTTCAAGTTGCACATTTCCTCACACTTCTTGATGTACTCCTCCGTCACGGTCTCGCCTTCTTCCAGGCCTCAGTTTCTCGAGTCTCGTTTAAAGGCGTGGGGTTCAGGGCTTAGGGTTCCAAACCTTCGCGGGCGGGCTTCTCAGCCTTCTAGACCCCATGGCCGTTGCGCGTCAGCAGTTCTGATCGTCGTCAGCACACCAGGTTCTCAGGAAAGTTGAACAGTTTTAAGACGAGGATTTGGCTTTGAGTCTGCATGTACCCATACTTCGTATCGAAACGAAGACCAACTCAAACATATGCATAACTGTTAACTCGACTTGCTTCTCGAGAAAGACAGGCCCCTACGCCGATGCAATCTGTCAGGTTGATGAGGCGAACTTGCAGCCTGAGGACTCAAGATAATTCTTTCAAAGCTACATTCCAGGCCCTTTGCCTCTTCAGCCTTCTCTATCGGTTAGGAAGGGACTCAGCTTATGCCCGCCCTTGTCTCGGATCAAGCCATGTTGGCAAGAAGGCTGAAACAAACAGTCCCTCTCATGTCACGTGCCAGACTTGATAAAGGATTCCTTGCTAGGGACCTTTTGCACGCAATTCTTTCGGCTGCCATGTCACCATATAAGCTTCCGTCGTATCTCTAAACACCGAACTGATTCTGTCACGTAGTATCTTGAAAGAGCATTTCTACATGTACCGCAGTAAATGTGCATGCTGTGCCCCTGCACTGAATGTGTTGCTGCCTATTGGAATACATGGTAAAACATATGTGCACCCCAGCGACCGTACAAGATGTTGTTCCGGACGGTGGTGTTGAACAACACAGGCTCCTGCCCGACAAAGCCGATCTGCCGACGCCACCAGCGGATGTTCAGCTCGTGAAGGGGCCTTCGCGCCTTTCCGAGTCCGAAATTGAATTTGGGTTTGGGTTGGGGAGTTGCGGCTGCGGAGTCGCCATCTGTCCTTGGGAGGATCCCCCAAAACTCTACGAACGACAGTCTTACACAGCTTTTGCAGGGAATTATGAAACCGGTTCTCGCTACGGGATCTCACATCGTGAACCTTCGGTTCCAGATTTGTTAGGGGCCACTCGCGCTCTGTGTAGCGATGGAGATGACGCCCGCACTGGGATCAATCCTCCTGAGCTCTTTCCAATGATAGAAATGGCAAGCATGTTAACATAATGATCGGTAATGCATGGAAGTGCAGTGCGAGGCCTCGCCAACGTAGACGGCTCCCTCTTGCGGGTCGTAGAACCGCTGGATCAGCGACATAACCGTGCCTTGGCTTGGATCGTACATGGGCTGTCAGGTCTCGACACCCGGCCCCCAAAATCTGCTAGGAATCCTGGCGCAATGACGGCTTTTTTATGAGATGACACAACACCCCCAATCTGCTGAGATCCTAAACTTAACAAGTTGCCTCCTCGCGGCCTACAAGACGACTCCACTCCCAATCCACCAAGCCCTTTGTAGCACCCTTATAGTAGGTGGGCGCGCCTTATTTTCCCTGGCATTCTCCTGTGTTCCTTGCACATAGCGGGCGTTATCGTGTGTGTTTTTTTCGCAGATAGGCGGCATTCTGGTGTGTTTTATCGTAAGTTTTTTGCGTTTTGCTGTGTTTTTCCAGTGTTTGCATCCAGCATCCGTGTTCCCGCACAGCATCCATGTCCCAACCATGTTAATGTCAACACAAAGTCCGTCCGTTCCCACAGAGCATCCATGTCCCAAACATGTTAACGTCCACACAAAGTCCGTCCGTTCCCACAGAGCATCCATGTGCCAACCATGATAACGTCCAGACAAACTCCGTCCGTTCCCACAGAGCATCCATGTGCCGACCATGATAACGTCCAGACAAACTCCGCCCGTTCCCACAGAGCATCCATG